CACACACACACACACACACACACACACACACACACACTGTTCATGCTCTGCAGTGGCGTCCCAGAGTCCTCAGAAGAGAAACCTGCTCCACTGGTTCCGTGCCTTCCGGGCGGCTTTAGAACGTCAGGGTCAGAGGTCAAGGCCTGCGGTGGTCAGTGAGGGTCAGAGCAGAGAGCAGGATAGAGACATCAGTAGGGTAGGTCAAAGGTCAGCGGGGTCAGCAGGAGAGAACATGTCACACATTGTGTTGTCGATGTCAAGGGTCGTGCATCCAATCAAACACTGTTATTTTAATAAGGCAGAAGAAACTCATCAGATTCGACAAATGTGACATAGCAATTAATATTGCTGCTATAATCATTGAACAAATCTACCAGAAATATTAACTCACAAAGATGAATGAGTGATTTATTTATATTGGATTTTTCAGCATGGAATAGCAAATACACAGAAACAAACTCTTATTATCATAAATTAGCATTCCACAGCATTATTATTCTAATAAACAATCCCTTAAACGACTACATATAACAGATCGCTAATAATGTCTCATGTTAATGCTCTTACAAGCAAGCTTTCAACTAATTACATAAATTAAAACAGTGAAATTAAATGTCTACACATGCCTATGAATAAATAATATCAATAATAACTAATAAGCAACTAAATAAAAATAGAAAATAAAAAGGAGTCAAAATTTGAAACTATGGAAATTAAGACCGAGAAAAAATATATATTAGAATTGTAACTTAGTTAGAATGTAAAATTAATAATAATTATTATTATATTATTTTTCTTAAATACTCATTTTTATTTTACAGTGAAATATTAATATTAAATTAACGTAATATTTCTTGTTTTTAGTATGTTTTATATTTTTGTTTATTTATAATAATAATAATAATTTAATATTTTTAATGTTTTATTTAATTACATATATTTAATGCAATTTTCTATTTTAACGCCTTATTGATATATAATCACAATGTTTTTGTAATCAAAAAATATTTTATTTGTAATCACAATGTATTTATTTTATTTTTTTAAATCGCAATTGCCATGGTTTTCAGAAAGCTGCAGTGAGAATTTTTCTCCCCAGACTGTGCAGCTTTAAATATGGAGGTGTTTTATGATGCTGTGGAAAACATTTCAATCTCTTCAGTTTTTACCCACAATGCAACGCCCGTCCACGCCCTGTCAGCCGCGTGATGTCATTAACACCCACATCAGTCCTGGCTCCGTCTCTAGAGCATCTCATCTCGGCCCTGAACTTCACTTTAGTGCGAAACGAGTCTCGCCCCTCTTTTCCAAGCCTTTGATTTCCTCTCTCTGAGCTTCAAGAGTTTCATGTCCAACTCTGTTCTCAAACTGTGTTGAAGTTCCTAAGATCATGCAGTTGTGTCTGTTCGGGAGTAATTCACCTAAAAATGAATATTAATTTATTATAATTACCCTGACACGAGAGAGTAAATAGTTAACTGAAAACACAAACCACAAAAAAGTGAAATAAATGTTAACTGAAATAAAATAAGTTGAAGTTCGTTTATATTTAATTTAATTTCCGCTGGGTTTTCAAGACAACATTTTTAATTTTTGTTTAGTTTAATTTAAATAATATAATTAATATAAAACACAAAAATTACTAAAACTTAATAGCATATCTGAAATAACTCTAAATAACATACATCCCACTTTACAGATAGAGCTGTGTGATGATAGCTACATTTTGCAATGATATAAACAATATAAACTTCAATATATTCAATTATCTTTTTAACCAAGAAGTCATGATTTACTGGATCATAATAAAGAAGGATAAGCATTTTCAAAAATGTTTTACTATTAAATT